AAAAAAAAAAGACATGATTTGCATATCTGTCCTCTTCCAAACCTAATTTAGTTTCCCATCTGTTTCAAAATGAAGTTATTTTGGTTTTTTCTGTTATATGCAGTACTTTGTGTTTCAAGTCTTATTCAACAATTAAAATATCTTATCTAATGCTAATGCTGAAACACACCTAAAATACATTGAGCCTATTACTTTAGGTCTATTACTTGGCACTTGAGTATAATGTATTGTGTCACATGCTTGTATGTCTGTCTTTCATGTCAGAATGTAAATGTCTTTTCATTCCCAGTACAGTACCTGGCACATAGCAGATGCCTCAACGATTATTCAATTAATGTATGCACTTAGGAGTGGATGGAAAAAATACATTGATATATCCCAAGCTATCCTCTTCCCAAAAATATTTTAAGCAAAATTATGACCACTTGAGTAGCTCATTTCAACCACTCATTAAATGAGTGTTCATTGGCAAACGACCATGGTGGGAGAAGGGGTCAAGATACATGAGTTGAGGAATAAGGGAGAGGCCCCTGAGCAAATAGCAGGTAGGTACTCCTATTTGTTGATTATTTATAAGTCAGGCCTGTTCCACCTGGTCCCTGTGCTTTTTCTGCTTTTCTACGACTGCACATAGAAGTTTTTGTAATGATCATACAAAGCATTATCACATTATTTAGAGCTAAGAGAACAAAAGTGTTAGAAGGTTAAATGGCTTACTCAAGGTCACTCAGCTAGTAGGTAGTCGATCTGCACCTCGGCTGAGTGTGAGGCCCTGAAGAGGGCCAGTTGTGGATAAAAGTGAGAAGATAAGCTGAGCCAGTTTCTATTTTAACTTTGCTGTGTCACTCACTACTCTAGAACAGTATTCTTAAATTTAATAGCACTTTTAAATCACTGGGGAACTTTTAAAAGTACAGATGCCTTAGTCTGACCCCAAGAGATGTTTGTTTAATTTTTCTAGAGCATGCCATGGGTGTCCGGATTTAAAAAAAAAAAAAATCCCCAGGTGATCCTAATGTGTGATCGTGTTTTAGAACATAGCTCTAGATTCTATTGAGTCCTATTATCTTTTCCAGTGTTTACAATTTAGAGTTAACTGAGATGACCTTAAACACCTGCAGACGTTAAGCTTATTTCCACAGATTAGAGCCAAGTTGTTTGATGAGTGAGATAAATATACCCACATGGCTCAGAGACTGGCTGTTTCCTGAGGACAGACCTCTAGATCATGGGGAGCAGTCATTTTGGAGCTTATAACACTTGAATGTAGTTCAGTATACAGTTTGGTAGCTAGTGAGGTTTACTCATGGGGTAGTGACAATGGATAAAACAATGAAAATACTGATTGGTATTTTTCACCCAAGTAATCTGAGGTGAGATAACATTCTTGAAGAGCTTATTTTATGCCAAGACTGGAGGAACTGGTAAAAGCTACAGATATATTTTTCATCCACCCTGGGTAAAAGAAGTCTAATTTCTTTGCTTAGCAAAACTGGATTTAAAGACCACATCAAGCTATCCTATAGTTGGTTGATGAACCAGTTCAAACTACCACTTCTGTAGTCCTTGTTCTTGATGACATAGCAGTTCTTTTCCCTGTGGCTCCATGCAGAACCTTGAAAACATCATGAAGCAGTTTTTCAAGAATCCACTTCTACATGGCTGTGATGAACTTCCATGTAGCCTAAACAACATCTTCCCAATTTGCTAGATTAGTGTTCAACTTCATGCCAGATTTTCTTAAATGAACTCATCTATTGTATCTACCATAAATACTGATATTTTCACTTGTCATGGGACAAATGTGGCTTGAGGCTTGATTATAAATTGAAGGACTAGGTGCCAACTTAATTTTTGTAAGTTCTCCACAAAAATATCAACTGTAATTAGGTACAATCAATAACTTCTACATGAATTAATACATAGACAACCGAATTAAAGTTTTTTAGCTTAAGCAGTAGATCTTTCCTCTCTAAAATAAATGATACAAATATGTAGCACTCACTGAGACTTCATTAGGTAGTGGCACCCTATGCACATTGTTTTAATCTTTGCAAGAGCCTTATGAGGTTTTTCCACCACCGTTACTACCACCAGTTTGTAGATGAGCAACTTGAACATGACAGCATAGAAGACCCCTAAATCCATATCACCTCCCCATTCAGGAATCTGCAATAGCTCCCAACTGTTTAGTGCTTCTTACTGAATATTATTCATATATTTCTATATATTCATGGAAATAAAACTGTGGTTCAGAGCATAGCATTTGAAGTCAGGCTGCCTAGGTTTGTATCTCATCTCTTCCACTTATAGCTTGGACAAGTTTTTGTTCTTCTTGGGCTCAATTGTTTACCTGTAAAAAAAAAAAAAAAAAAGAAGAAGAAGAAGAAGATAACAGTGCTTACATCACAGAATCATTGCGAGGATTTTGTGGAATAATACATAAAATGCTTGATACAGTACCTGGTCAAAGGAAAAGATCAATAAATGTTATCTTCTGTTATTTGCAATTAAAACTATCTTGCACAAGTCATAAATATGGATTGCTACTCTCAGATGTAGGTTGATCTTTCATGTATACACTCTTCATTGATTCATTGTTTCACATATTCATTCAACAAATATTGAGTTCCAGTGCAGCTCAACTGTGGGATCAATCAGATCATGACACACACAACCCACCTCCTCAGTTTAACACCTTTGAATGATTCCTCCTTGCACTCAGAATAAAATGCAAACTCCTCTGCACATGCTCTGTGATGTAATTTCTATTTCACCGTAATCCTCCGAAACTCCCAGGTACCAAGCATTCCAGAAATTCGAAATCAGATAAGGTTGGCCTTTCTCAGAACCCTCCATTTATTTATTATTACTCACAGTGTCGGTTTCTTCTCATATTTTAAGCTTGTCTTCCATTTGAAGTCCTCAGAGAGGTCTTTCCTGAGCATTCCATCTATCTAGGTTCTCATCATCCCTGCTATTCTCCATGGCACTTACCATAATCTGAAATTATACTTTTCTTTGCTTACTTAATTCATAGTGTGTCTCTCTCACTAAAATCTGAAGGCTGGGGCCAAGTCTATTATATACCCCAGTAAATATTCAGTGCTTGTCCCAGTGACTGAGGCATAGTAGATAGGCAATAAGTATTAGTGGACAGAGTGAATTAATTCCAATTACGCTTCCTATCCCATTACTGGGGCTGCTTATCAGAAGTCAAAAACGAGTGTAGTCTCAGTAGTGACTCAGTTATCCAGCTTGCTGATGCAATCCCCTGATCCGTTTCATTGTACCTCTCTTTAGGTATCACCACTGTCCTGACAATGACCACTCTCAGCACCATTGCCCGGAAGTCACTCCCCAAGGTCTCCTATGTCACAGCGATGGATCTCTTTGTGTCTGTTTGTTTCATCTTTGTCTTCTCTGCTTTGGTGGAGTATGGTACCCTGCATTATTTTGTCAGCAACCGGAAACCAAGCAAGGACAAAGACAAGAAAAAGAAAAACCCTGTATGTATCATTTCTCATTGTGACCACTGAGATTTTTATGCAGAAAAACCACTGGTTTGGTTTGATTTGGTTTGGTTAGCAGGCTAACACTCAGCACTTTGGGATCTATGATGAAAATAGAATGTGTGAGTTTGGCCAAGCTATAAAAATCCATATATGGTCATTAGTTACTTGAGAGAGACCTGATTCTCTAAGTCAGACTCCTTATGCTATCATGATTACCTGCTGTCTTTAGTTCATGGGGATTAAAACATTGCTAAGAAATGTGTCCATTTTCTAATTGCTGTAATACTAGGTTTTATTGATTTTTATCTTTCTGCTCCCTTACTATATTATTTTTAAATTACTGATGTTTTAAATTAAATTTTTTATCCAGGCATTCCACTAGGAAGCCACAATGTTCTTGAAGTTCCAAGGATCACCACTTTTGCAATTAATTTAGTGTGTGTGTGTGTGTGTGTGTGTGTGTGTGTGTGTGTGTGTGCTGCCACCAGAGGATTTCTATTGATTTCATATTTAAAATGCACCTTTTTGTTTTTAAAGCACATGGCTTACCTATTGTTTGGGCAAGTTTCTCAGTCTCCCTGTGTCTTTGTTTTCTCATATGTAAAATGAGTATTGCTAAAAACACTCATCTTATGGGGTTGCTGTGAGTAATAAATGTGACAATGAGGGTAAAAACAAAAGAAATCAAACAAAAAAACCCAACAACAGCAGCAATAAAAAAGAAAATTATGTATAACCCTAGACATGAAAGTTCTTACCATTAGTAGTTGGTGATGATGGTTGATACTGATGATTTGTAGTTACCAACCTGGATTGATTTCAGTGTCTGCATGATTTGGAAACAGGTAGGATGACTTCTGCTTGCAACTAAACTTTAAGTAGAGAGGATGAAGCACAAATAAAATGCCTAAAGCAGTTGTCTTTTATTGTGAGTGTTGAGGAGAGCACGTAGCTACCCTTTTACCCACTTAAATACAGTGTCTGGCTTATAGGCATTCTCATAAAAGTTAAGGTCCATTCCCTTCCAAGGGCAAGAGGAGTCACCTTACCTTCCTGGACTTACAGCCTTTCTTGGTTTTCTGCTCTAAGGGCCGTGAAGACCATGACAGTGGCTAGCTATCTGACCCATGTACATTGGGGGCTGAATTATAAGGAGGGAATTTAGCTGTTTCTAGGTTGAATCCTGATGCATCTCTAGGAACTCCAGTGAAAATCTACAAGTGACACATGTTTATTTGAAGATAAGACTTTGTGACAGGTAAAGAAAGAAGCCTTGTTATTCTTGATGATTAATAGAAAATAAATGCTTATCTTTAATTTCCCAGATACCCACTATGCTTTATGCAGTCCTTGCCTTCCCTGTTTTGCTTCTCTCTGCCTTTCCATTTTCTCTATCCTTATTTTATTTTCCTTGTTGTGCTGTTTTTTGATTGTCGCCCCTCCTTCTCTTCCATTTCACTCTCCCCCAAGAAGATGGTTCTATTGACACCCCTAAGTATTACCTGCAAGCTGTAACAAGGATGTGAGGACTGGCTTTCAAACAAGTTCTGATGAGTACTTTGGAAAAAGTGCTTTGATCCTCTCTATCAGCTACGTCATTGCAGAGTGGATTTGGTCACAGAGATAGAAACAGTTGGATTCCTTAATCCAGGGTCATGGAAATGACAGAAGAAGAAAAGAAAACAGAGGACAAAGGGGATTAAAGAAACTGAAAATTAAATTACCTGAGAATTTTATGCATTTCCCTTTTTAAGCCAATTAAGAACTAGCAAGAGCCTAAACTGTGAAAGAGAAGCTGGAATTTCATTTTCCCATTTAATATACCCCTTGGCTCACGTGTCAAGTCTCACCTGTTAAGGTCTCNTTCATTTTCCCATTTAATATACCCCTTGGCTCACGTGTCAAGTCTCACCTGTTAAGGTCTCCTTGAATAAAATCACAGTATTTTTATACAGGGGAACCAAGCAACAGGAATCTTCCTTACAATTGAACAGCATTGGCTTTTGCAGTCAGTTAATTATAGATCAATTTATTAAAGATTTGACTAGAAATTAAAAAATTCCATTTTCTAACTTTAAGCATATACTTTATCCCAAACTTAGACCCTCCTTCTGTGTTTATAATTTCAGTTCATTTCACTTGCTATGTTTTCAAAATGTATTTTTAATTTTTTCTTGCATTCTCATAAAAGTTAAGGTCCATTCCCTTCCAAGGGCAAGAGGAGTCACCTTACCTTCCTGGACTTACAGCCTTTCTTGGTTTTCTGCTCTAAGGGCCGTGAAGACCATGACAGTGGCTAGCTATCTGACCCATGTACATTGGGGGCTGAATTATAAGGAGGGAATTTAGCTGTTTCTAGGTTGAATCCTGATGCATCTCTAGGAACTCCAGTGAAAATCTACAAGTGACACATGTTTATTTGAAGATAAGACTTTGTGACAGGTAAAGAAAGAAGCCTTGTTATTCTTGATGATTAATAGAAAATAAATGCTTATCTTTAATTTCCCAGATACCCACTATGCTTTATGCAGTCCTTGCCTTCCCTGTTTTGCTTCTCTCTGCCTTTCCATTTTCTCTATCCTTATTTTATTTTCCTTGTTGTGCTGTTTTTTGATTGTCGCCCCTCCTTCTCTTCCATTTCACTCTCCCCCAAGAAGATGGTTCTATTGACACCCCTAAGTATTACCTGCAGGCTGTAACAAGGATGTGAGGACTGGCTTTCAAACAAGTTCTGATGAGTACTTTGGAAAAAGTGCTTTGATCCTCTCTATCAGCTACGTCATTGCAGAGTGGATTTGGTCACAGAGATAGAAACAGTTGGATTCCTTAATCCAGGGTCATGGAAATGACAGAAGAAGAAAAGAAAACAGAGGACAAAGGGGATTAAAGAAACTGAAAATTAAATTACCTGAGAATTTTATGCATTTCCCTTTTTAAGCCAATTAAGAACTAGCAAGAGCCTAAACTGTGAAAGAGAAGCTGGAATTTCATTTTCCCATTTAATATACCCCTTGGCTCACGTGTCAAGTCTCACCTGTTAAGGTCTCTTTGAATAAAATCACAGTATTTTTATACAGGGGAACCAAGCAACAGGAATCTTCCTTACAATTGAACAGCATTGGCTTCTGCAGTCAGTTAATTATAGATCAATTTATTAAAGATTTGACTAGAAATAAAAAAATTCCATTTTCTAACTTTAAGCATATACTTTATCCCAAACTTAGACCCTCCTTCTGTGTTTATAATTTCAGTTCATTTCACTTGCTATGTTTTCAAAATGTATTTTTAATTTTTTCTTTTTTTTTCTCTCTTAGCTTCTTCGGATGTTTTCCTTCAAGGTATAATGTTTTTGGAATGGAAATTCACTGCATGCAACTGCTGAAATTAACTATTAATGCTTACATGGTGTTTTATTTTATTTTATTTTTTATGTAGACATTTAAGCATTCTACTAGAAGTAACACTTTCAAGGTGGAGAAAGTTCTATAGATTTCTAGAGTTGATTCACCAACTGTACACTATTTCATGAAGGTTTTGACCTTACAACCAGCTCAAAAGCTATAAGCCCTATTGGATACCATAGATAAAGAAGGCTTTTTTAAACATCAAAGCCAAAATTTACCTCTCTTCTCAGATGACAATGGGGTCCAATTTCATTGGCTATACCTACCATATATAAAATATACTATAAATTATATATATTTTAAAATTAAATTTTTACTCTGTAAATTCTAATTCAAAAATGGGATTTTAAAAAAATTTTGGGTAATCTTATTAATTTCTGTTTGTCTGAACTCTACCTGTAAGTTCTATAAGAACAATATTCTCTCTAAAAGGCTTTAGGTTAAAATATCCATTTCTTCCTTCTAGAGTGATCACAAAGCCTGCTGGCTCTATCGTGAAATATTGCAGTGAGATTTCTATTCAATTCTGATAGCTGATTCAGAGACACTAGGATTTGTGTTCATATTGTGTTATTTTTAAACTAACTCATCCAAATTAACATAAATAATAATCATAATTTTATAGTAATTTTATAATCATCTGACAGCAATGATTAGATTAGCATGCAGTTAATTGTTACTAGTTTCTTCTCAAATGCTAAGAATAGTTTGGCCTGTAGTAACATTCTTTTCTGAATTTTCATTCACATGTAGGTAAACACTGCTAACATTCTTAAGCTCTAGATGGGGAATGTTAGACAAAGAACCATATTCCCTTAACATATAACCCATACCTTTGGTATAAAATCAGGAAACTTCTTTATTTATATATATTTTAACATTCTCTATTAACAGCATTTAATACATTTGCCCAGTGCAATGGGGTTTCCTATTTGCCTATAGTAAGCATGAAACACTATTTGATTTCAGAATTGAAGCATTTTTATTTCTTTGTTCCACTCACATGCAGCACCATTAAATGCCTTCATTTAACAACTTTACATCTAATAGTTAATAGAATAAGATTCCATGTAGTTTTATTTAAATCTTTAAACTTTGAGTTCTTTTGGTGTTCAATCTTCTTGCTATAGCTATTAGCTTGATGATATTATTTTCAGCTGCACTGCTTAAGCTCAAAATTTGAAATCTGCAAATGTGCTATCTTTCTAAGTTCAATTTTACCATTGTAGATCACGATGTCATAGCAATTTCCTGAGTACCCATTTTCAGATTTATCATCACATTGGTGACATTGTGGAGAAATAGTCTAGGATTTCTCAAGTTTAACTAACTCTGATCCTTCTTCTTCCCTACCCTTATCTCAGGCCCCTACCATTGATATCCGCCCAAGATCAGCAACCATTCAAATGAACAATGCTACACACCTCCAAGAGAGAGATGAAGAATACGGTTATGAGTGTCTGGACGGCAAAGACTGCGCCAGTTTTTTCTGCTGTTTTGAAGACTGCCGAACAGGGGCTTGGAGACATGGGAGAATACATATCCGTATTGCCAAAATGGACTCATATGCTCGGATCTTCTTCCCCACTGCCTTCTGCTTGTTCAATCTGGTTTATTGGGTCTCCTACCTTTATCTGTGAAGAGGTATGGGTTTTGTTGATAAGGGTTTTATTCACTGAATCTCATGGAGAGAAGACATCCTTTCTAAGTTCATTTAATTAACCCCCTATGTCGTCGATAATGATCTGAATTTGTTTCTACGTTCAAATCTGGTAAATCGTATAATGTCATATTGTTTGTGTCCAACTCTCCTTTGGTTAGTGTAATTTGAACTGAACTGTTTGCTGTGTTTCGAACCTGCAAGGCAAAGTACAATTACAGTAACAACATTGAAACTAAACAAGGCATTTTTCAGCTACAGAAACTGAAAGAGTGAAAGCCCATGGTATTTACAGTGGTGGTATCCTTACTTGATTCACAAGGCAATTAGATACAAAAGGTCCAAAACTGTACCCTATGTTCACTTGGGGTCATGTTGTAATAAATTTGATCCCAATAGAATACTGCCCTCATTTGAGAAGAATCACAACTTAAACAAGGCATTTTTCAGCTACAGAAACTGAAAGAGTGAAAGCCCATGCTATTTACAGTGGTGGTATCCTTACTTGATTCACAATGCAATTAGATACAAAAGGTCCAAAACTGTACCCTATGTTCACTTGGAGTCATGTTGTAATAAATTTGATCCCAATAGAATACTGCCCTCATTTGAGAAGAATCACAACTCACTTTAAGTATAAAAGTCTAGACTAGAAATCGATTATGCCTTTTTTTCCAAGATAGGAAGAAAATTCCCTCCACATCACGTGTACAATGATGTAAATATCTCAGTATCGTAGAATGCTTCAAGTTTAATGCATGCATCTCTCTAGAGCCAAAATAAATGGATTGAAGTTATCATAAACTATTGTCTTTTATTTTGTGACTTTGGGCTATAAAAGAATCATGAATGTAATTATAAGGATTGGGTTTGGAATTTGAGGGAGGAATTTTCATTGCCTTCTCCCTCAAGCATGAAGATTCAAACAGTTTATGTTTTTCCTTGTATGACACATTACAACACTTTGTTTAAAATATAAACTGAATAATCAACATATGCCACCTCTAAATATGTCCAATTTCATAACTACAGTATAAAGTAATTGTATGTGCTTGCTGCTATTCTTTCTTCCTTTTAGGATGATAGATTATAAAAGAACTTATTTTCCATCTCAAGATCTGCTTCTAGTGATTGTGAGTGCCTTGTGGGCAGAATCCTTGTCATTTCTTCTTTGGGTCCTCAGTACCTTGCATAGTGCCTGGCACATAGTTGGTGCTCAATAAATATGGTTTGAAATGAATTGCCCTCAGATGCTTCTGGTAAATCTCTCTGTGCTGGCCTGGAACCAGTGATTTATTTTTTCACATAGGCATTGCTAAGTGATATTTGATCTTGTAGAAACAAACAACCAAAAGGATCCAAAGAACTTTGGCTATTTATGTTCATCTTCAAAAATTTATGCTAGGCAAGTCCATGCTACTTTTAAAACAATATTTTTGTCCTGTGTTTGTATACAGAAATGACTCTACTGCAGTATAATTAGAGCTTCTGTGTTATTTTTGCAGGTTGGGGATGAGTCAGTCCTGACCCATCCACAATTGCGCTTGTGAACTTATGACAGGCATGAGCAAGAATCATACATGACTGGTATTAAGAATGTATATTCTATGCTCTATGAAGAAAAAAAATGTACTGATTAGATTAAAAGCAGATTAATGACTTAGGTGGAAGTTGAGCCTATGACTGTGGCCTCATTAGACTGGACTGTAATCAAATGAAGTGGTTGCCCCAGATATCAAATGATGAGTCGAGCCTCATCTTCATGTACTCATCCTGAATCCTTATTTTTCTAAGATAGCACCCTTTGTCAGTTCTTTATGGCAATCATTGTTCTAAGCTAGAATTCAGTCATAGCTAGTATAACTATATAGATGATCTAAAAAGAATAGAACAGAGAGAGGCTTTGTTAACATAAAACCATGTGAAGTCATTCTCAAGTCTCATCTGGATGAATCTTGAATCACATTTAGCTGCCAATTTTACAAACCTTTGCTATATCAGTGCTCTATTATATAACCTCAAACAAATGTAAATAGAATGAATATTTTTGTTTGTTTTGAACCATCAAAATGTTCAATATTGACTCTTTGGGAGAGATGTTGGCAAATATCAATGGTGAGAAATGTTATTATTGTCAGCCTGAAATGTGTTCTATGATGGGGACACTAAAAATGCTAGCTTTTCAATGTGTGTATAAATATTGGCAATATGAATATATATATAAACTAAATCTTAGTTAGAAGCTTCTCCCTGTCTATGTATTTGAAAACCTTTTCACAAAGGGAATTGCCTAACATGTGGAATTTTGCAATAAAAATGCTGCATTCTAATTCATGGTGGCATGTCAGTGGTCTGGTTGGACTGTTTGTCTTATAGATATTTGTCTCATTAAAATTCCCTTTCAGTGAGCTTTATTTGTGTGCTGTGTGACCATATCTCACACAGTGATGCTAATAACTTCTAACAAATTAAGAGATGCATTCGGGTGTAGAGTGGAAAAGGAAAGCAGGAATGTTATGAAGTAAGTATAGCTCAAGCCTCTACCTCAGGACTTTTCGTGTGGTTCAAGAATACGGACTCTGGTGTCAGACAGAGTTGGGATCACAAATTCACCACTTGCCAGTTTGTTTGCCAATTGTCTACTGAGATTTAGAAGCCTCCATTTTACCAGCTATATATTAGGTGTGATAATGACACCCCATGTAGTGACACTCAACGAATGGTCAAAGCTCTCTCTCTTACTTCTAATGTCTCCCATGCATTGCTGCCATGTTCCTCCCACTCCCATCGAGTCAACCTTCCTAATAGAACTCAGCTGTAGTCACAACGAATGGTCAAAGCTCTCTCTCTTACTTCTAATGTCTCCCATGCACTGCTGCCATGTTCCTCCCACTCCCATCGAGTCAACCTTCCTAATAGAACTCAGCTGTAGTCATATATGTCTTAAGGTGACTCTGCATCATGTTTTATTTTTAAGGAATATTTGCATTGCAAACCTTCTTTTAAACTAGAGATTGGAAATTCATGTTTCTTATTGAAAGAAATCTTACACATTGGATTAGTTATTTTTAAGGCCAAAGAACATTTCTTTGTACTCTTAAAATTTAAAAACATACAGAGTTGATAAGTCCTATTCCAGGAACAGTGTCATGTTTTCCTGATGTACTTCAAAATTCTCCAAAGAGTAAAAGAGTATAATCCTTCACAAACACAGCTTCTCTAACCTTTCTCTGCCTGTCATTGTCTTGGCCCCTCATGGCTTCCTGAATCCAATTTTATTTATTTATTTATGTATTTATGTATTCATTCATTCATTCATTATTTATTTATTTACTTACTTATTTATAATTATTATTTATTTATTTATTATTTGTTTATTTATTTATTTATTTTTATTTGTTTATTTTCTGAATCCAATTTAAACATCTATTTCTAACCTTCCAGACATGTAAAAATACAGTTTCCACTTAGGTCTTGTCTGCTGTCTAACTCAATGCCTTCATCTTTAGCCGAGTGTGTATTCCTTGCATGACCTTCATCCCTTTCTTTTAAGTCTCAATATTATTCTGACTAGTAGCAACAATTTTTGTCTGTGATGAAGGTCAAATTAACCAAATCATGTGATCTTTGGAGATTATGTCAAAAATTTCTCTCTCTATTACTTTGTCACTATGGATGTTTGTCAAATATGTAGGAGAAAAGGGAATTACCAATAGTTTTGCTATATTTTTCAATGATAAGTTAATTGCCAAAAATCACACAGCTAACTAAGGGCAGATTGGGGAGAGTCATCTGAGCATTGCTCTTTCCACTGTGCTAAATGGTGTTTCAGGATCTGGAAGCAAAATTCTAGAATACTTCCCTTTTTCGTTCATGCTTTGGGATCGGCCAAACTTGAGAATGCCTTCTTTCTTTGATCTAGACCTCATTTTGACTCTTTTCATTGCAATGAGACAGAAATTTTAGAATACCTAGTAACAGAGATAAGTCAATGGATTTTGCATTTCTTTTATTCCCTATCATATGTAATGACCAATCAATATTTAATATTACCCATACTGCTTTCAGAATTCTGTTTCCAAGTGGGGGGACTTCAATCATTTAAAACAGTCCAGACCTGAAGTTGCCCTTTGTCCCTCAGGACATGGAGCAATAGACAACAAAAGAGTTTCCCATGGCTAGTCTCTGCAGGTTCATTCTTTCTACCATTTCAGCAAAGTGGTGAGGAGTGATCTATTATTATGCTTTCTAAGGTTAGAGATTATAGGTCAATTACAATATCCAGTTGTAACTTTTTTTTTTGCCATATTTGGAATAATAAAGAAAGGTTTCCCATAACTTTTCCTTATACAGCAAAATGGAAAAGCAGAGACGCTCTTGTTCCAATTTTATCCAGTTGTAACTTTTTTTTTTGCCATATTTGGAATAATAAAGAAAAGTTTCCCATAACTTTTCCTTATACAGCAAAATGGAAAAGCAGAGACGCTCTTGTTCCAATTTACCTAATTTCAAATTCCAGCCTTGTCAAAGCTTGTCATGCAACTTTTCTCTGACTCAGTTTCCTCTTCTTAAAAATGAAGATAATATTGGTATATACCTCATAATTTTATTGGAAGGAGTAATTGAGTTAATACCAAGAAATGCTTGGGTGTTAATAATTTTCCTAAGCACAGATATGAAGTTTCAAAAAATAAAGGCCATGAAGGCCATGTCCACCTTCATTAAAAATAATGATTATGATTTATAAGGACTCTCTCTTCCCATGAATTAAAGAAAAAACATCACTAGACAGAGAATTAATATTTCAAGTCACATTAGGGAATTTCCCCAAATATCCCTACCTTAAGGAGGCTCAATTTTTCATAGGTAATTGAGGGGATTTGGCTGCTTCAGCCTGGGAACATTTATTCTATCACTTCCCTACTGCTTATTACAGTCTGTTGTTATTGATTACCACCTAACATTCAGATTTTATTAAACTGTATCTTACCTTTACACTGATAACTTGGCTCATTTTCCCTGTTTGCTCCTTGAGTCTTCTCCAAAAAAGGACATAGTTCTAAAATGTCTTTCTCTACTCAACAGACTCCGACAGTTTCTAATCAAAGATTCTACCTAGTCCATGAAGTCTTTCCTGTTTTGTTAAAGTACAATATGCTATTTTCTTTTATCTCTTCCTGTATTTGATGTGATTTTTTGAGTGGCCTAATCCTAATGTTTACCTCAGCTAAGTACTTACATTAATCCAATCCTCTTAGTAAACAAATTTTAAATGAACAATGCTGTGACAAGAATGCAATATAAATGATTCACCATTCATTTGCATCTTATATCAGGTTGTTTATCTGCTGCCTATTTCCATGCTATATAAATTTGCCTCACATATTTTTTTCCTGTTATCTGTATGTTT